ACACACACACACACACACACACACACACACACACACACACACACACACACACACACTTACATCACACACACGCGCGCATTCACATTTATACAGACCGTTCTACCGTTCGGGTGCGTTTGGAGTCACGAAAGTCAGCGGCATCGACTACACATGCGACGAGGTGCTACTTTGTTATGTTTGCATGTACAGTGCGCCAAGCACCCGGGCACCAAGTTGTTTCGTCCACTTTGTGTGTATGTTGTGTGTACGTGCAATAGTATCGAAGTCTCACCCCCGCGTCTGTCCACCACCATTGCACGCCCCGTGGCATGATGCATACAAACCCATTCGCACACACACACACATGCACACACGCACACACACGCACACATACACGCACGCACACACACATACACATACACACACACGCAACACCAATGCAGTTTATTGACATGCACACGAAGGAGATTCGGGACGTGCAAGCGTGTCCGAACGGCGAACTCTTACTGACAGGTAGACACGGCCGTGACAACAGCAGCAGCTGCTGTACCCACACATGCATTCACACACACTCGATTACCCATGTACACAGGCATATGCGCACGCACCAAGCGTGCACACAAGCAACATGCGCACACAATCACTTGCACGTGTTTCTCATGCACTGTGCTATTTCCACCATTCTTCACTGTGGTACGTAGCTGGCCTGGACAAGACGCTTCGTATTTCATCCCTGACAACAAACGCGTGAGTGTCGCCTTACCCGTTCTACCGGTGGTTCTCTGTGCGTGTGTGCGTGTGTACGTGTGTGCATGTGGTTTTGATGGCTGTTGACTCGCACGCTACGCATGTGCACGTGCACATACACTGTCCTCACATGCATACTCACGCACTGTCCTCGCATGCTTCACCCTATCTTCCCCCCTGCAATTGTCACAGGGTGGTGCAGACATTTCGGCTCCCTGCTGCGTCGTGGGCGTGTGCGTGGAATTCCACACAGCCCGTGCACATCTACTGCGGCCTCGCAAACAACAAGTACGACCCACACGCCGTGTTGTGTGTGTGTGTGTGTGTATGCTGATTGAACCTTGATCGCATGATTTTGATATGCCTCGTGGCTCACAACGCTTGATGTCGGTTATGGGCTGTGTCACGTTGGGTGTTCAGCATTCTTCTGTTTGACATGCGCTATCCAACACATTTTGTGGAAGAGCTTCAATCCGAGGCCACGTGTCCCATCGTCTCTCTCCAGGAATACTCGTGCGTATGCTCCATGCGTGCATGTGTGTGTGTGTGTGGGGGGGGGGTTCAGTGCGCGCGTGCGTGTGGTGTGTGTGTGTGTGTGTGTATGTGTGTGTGTGTGTGTGTGCAGAAATGGCTGTGTTGAAGTCTCCTTTGCGTCGTTTGCACAAAAGTAGTGGTGGGTGCAATCAATCCCTTAACAGACAGGTGCTGTTGTTTCTGCATCAACAGGGTTGGCGGACAATGGGGCCTGCTTTCGTGCGATCTCAAAGTGAGTCAACAGCAACAACACCAACAACAACAACAACAGCAACAACAACAACAACAACAACAACAACAGCAGCAGCAGCAACAGCAACATCGTTGTAGCCCAATCACATCACATCACTGCGTGTTGATCCTGACATTCTCGCTGCACTGCAGTCGCTCATCGCTGTGTGCGCGCGTGCGTGTGTCTGTGTTGTCTGCTTGCGTTGGCCAGGGCGTCTCGTTTTGGGAAATCTCCACACAAAGCGACGCGAAACAGCACCGCTTATCACAATTGGACGGTGAGGTCAACACATTCACTCTCATGCAAAACAGGGTGCAAACGCACGCCAACTGCCACGCACCCTCGCACACCCTCTCTCACTCTCACTCTTACTCATACGCTCACTCACACCCACACGCATGCCACTCACACATCCACACATCCACGTGTGATCGGGACTGTGTGCAGGTGTGTGCACGTCGCTGTCCACTGCTGGCCTGAACGGAAAGGTGCTGTGCTCGTACCGGCCATCAAAGGCGTGCAATGTCACCCGTCACGTTGTGTTTTCGCTTCAACGACGCAACATAGATGACAATGACGATGATGACGATGATGATGATGATGATGATGAGGAGGAGGATGGTGATGGGACAGCGGTAGAGGTGCAGCAAGCAGAGACGGGCGAAACACCCTCCTCAGCTCCCAGGAACACCACCAGCAGCAGCAGCGGCAGCAGTATTGGTGGTGGCAGTGAAGGAAGACGAAGGTCACATCTCTCCTCTGTAACCAACGCGTCACGGGATATCCAGTGCACAATTGATCGGCAGTTGCTTGGTGCGTGTGGGCTGCACGCGTTGATGGGCGACTTGTGTGTTGTCAGTTTGTTGATGCTCATGACTGTAATTCACAGTCGCCTGACTTTCTTTCTCACCTTGCTTCCTCGTATATTAAGACAACTCATCGCTGTTGCCATCACCATACCCGCTGACACGCACGCACGCACGCAGGTGGGCCGCAGCAGACGAAGCTTGCTCGCTCGTGCATTCTCTCTCACCCACGCGGCTTTGGCAATCTCGTGTGCGCCAGCAACGAAGCAAACCAATCGGTCGGTGATGGTGGTGGAGTTGAGCTTGAGGCTGGTGAGGACGACGGGGGACAAGCCACCGGTTCAGTTCTCCTTTTGTCTGAGTTCTTCTTGGCATGGTGTTCTTTCCACACACACGCACGCACACACATATACACACGCACACACATACACGCACACACATACACGCACACACATACACACACGCGCGCACGCGCGCATTGGCTTCAACTCAACCCAACCGTCACCTGTCCTCCAATACACAGGCGCTGCTGTGGGATGCGAGCACGGGCGATGTGTACCAGGAGGTCAAGCGGGACCGGTGCAAGCTGCCATATGTCGCCTTTGCAGACGTCACGCCCGAACAGAACAGCCGCTCCCTGGCTGCGCTCGCTGATGGCACGCTCGAGATCCTCAACTGGTCATAGCCGCAGTGGTTTGTGTGTGTGTGTGTGTGTGTGTGTGTGTGTGTGTGTGTGTGTGTGTGTGTGTCGTGTGTGTGTGTGTGTGTGTGTGTGTGTGTGTGTTTACTCAATCTCCCCATTCGCTTCCTCAACACCAGCTTAGTTCTCCCTTGTTCAACTGTCCTTCGCGCATAACTGTACATACGAATCACGCTGAGCACGGCTTGTTGAAGTGGTCTTCTTGTAGATTGGGTATTGACAACACACATATGCATATGATGCACACACGCACCCTTGAACAACCCAACAGGCAAACAATGCCCTGACATTAAACTGCATCAAACGCCACAGATCAATTATGCGCAACAAAAACAACACGCAACACACACACACACACACACACACACACACACACATGACATGTGACAACAGGGCAACGACCCAAAGCCATGGCAGACGAGCGACCACACACGCGTGATGCGATCAAGCTCACATCACATCACAACACATCACAACACAACACATCACATCACCGCAACAACACGGCATACATTATGTTCAGCATCAGACGGTCCATACATTAACACATGCGCACGCACAATGAGTGCATCGGCGTCACAATGTCAGGCTGGCGTCTGCAATCTCCTCATCCTCATCCGAGTCCATCACCTCCAAATCCGATTCATCACCGGCGTCGTCGTCGTCGTCGTCGTCGTCGACATCGCCGTCACCATCCATGCCACCGTGACCAATGCCATTCTCTGTCGTGGCGGTGGTTGCGCTGCGCTTGGCCTTGTGCTCGTCCTCATCATCGCCCGTCGTTGCGTCCTGCGCGTGTGTGGCGTGTGGCTTCTGGCTGGCCGGGTGCCGGCCGTCCAGCGCCTGCAAGTGCTCCAGCTGCGCAAACCGCCGCACCGTCTCTGCACCGCACGTTGTTTGAGAGTGTGCGCGGAGGGGGGAAGGGGGCAACAAGGAATGAAGATGAGAGATGGTGGCGATGACTTGGATAGAGATAAGGGAAGTACAGAGGTGGGACAGGGGACAACTTGAGTGGACAGAGGAACAGATCCATGCAGCAGAAAATGGCAGGCGTCAAACGTACAACTTGCGTGGTGTGTGTGTGAAATGTGTGTGTGTGTGAGAGAGAGTGTGTGTGTGTGTGTGTGTGTGTACCGCACCTTTGACGCGGCGAACAAAGTCGCTCTTGTTGTTGACGTAGAGGGACGCTGCCTCGCCGTTGAGGGGATCAGAGGCGTTTGGATACAGCAGCAGCTGCGGCAGGAACACCTCAAACACATTGATCAGCTCTGCACACACAGAATTCGATTGGAGGCAGGGGGAAGGGAAAGCAGAGGGAGCGTCAGCAGAGGGAGGAACACATGGTGAACAAGGGGTTATTGGTGGCAGTGAACAACAAGGATCAAGCCTTTTTCAACTCAAGGGGAAAGTGGGCGTGCAAAGCGAAGGGCAAAGCACAGACAGCACACACACACACACACACACACACACACACACACACACACACACACACACACACACACACACACACACACACACACACACACACACACTACGTCGTTCGTTTACGTACGTACTGAGTGAATAGCAAAACAATGACAGTTACAAAACTCACGGATGGGTCGCTGATGATGCCTGAAAACTTTGGGTGAATGTCTGGGACCCAAAGGTCCGGGTGAACGTTCTCCAGGAACCACTTGAAGGAGTGGCAGTTGAGGCGCTCGCGAATGGCGCGACGCTCAGACAGATCGCCAGGATCTTTTCCGTAGAACCCGCGCGTGTCGTACAC